TCCTTCAAAATACATCCTAATAATTTGATTGCATGAGATTATATTAGCAACCAACATGACAATGAACTAGTTTTTAGACAAAAATCTCAACAAAGAAAAAAACAATAATAATTTACCTGATATATTTGAAATTGTCAAAGTATCTCGTAGGAGCAAACTTATGGTCAAGGTGTGTGGCATGAAACGGGTAAGGCTCCACGACTAACGTGTGTCCTCCCATGCAACTTCCGCTAAGTTTCAACGCCTTCTCCTCTGCACCTTCTCCCCGAAGATAAATCAAGGCAAATCTGTGAAACAAAATCCAGAGTTTAATCATTGCAAGTGTTTAACTTAAAAAGCTGAGAAAACTGGAGGGAAAACGCTACAAACCTGTTGAGAATTCTGAGTTTCATGTATCCGGGAATATAAACATGCAACAGCTCTCCACATGATTTGAAATGTTTTCTCATAGACAAAACGAGACTAAGGCCAGAAAGCGAAGTGTCGTATCCCTCAACGTACATCCTGCTCACAATGCTTCTACTGCAAAATAAATTTGCATGCAGGTGAAAATACAATTAATATGACAACAACCAACACATCTCCAAAGAAATTAAAAAGCATCAATATTTACCTGCTTTTTCGAATGTCTTCATCTCTATCGTTCAAATCCAGCGATGCCAAACCCTAAGATACAAAAGACCTAATTAGATATTTCAAATTGAGAAATAGAGATTAAAGAAAGCCACAAGGATGGAAGAAGAGATTACTTTGATGGTGGATCCCTCCATGGAGAAGTTGCGAAGTCGCGACGGAAAAAGACGAAGTATTTTAGGGATTTAGGTCTTTCTAGATGCTGTCGAAAAAGAAGAAGTATTTCTAACGCATCTATAATATTTTTTTGTGAAATAATTTTGGACAAATAAGAAAAACTCACTATTAACATTTTAATCCATATCCAATTAGTTTTGGAATCGGTCAAGAAAAATGGAAAATTCAATAAAAGAATATCTGATTATACCCTATCTCTCAAGAAACATGGCTTCTTCAAGGGGGCACATCTAGGGCTCATTCTTGATGACCCAAAAATAGTTTTCTTTGTTGAATGATTTCAACGAGGAAAAAAATATCATTCTAAATCTATGAAAGAAAAGTGCTATGAATGGAAGTTTTAGAAGTGTGTGGTAATTAGGAACAAAAACTAGTTTTTTTAATGGCATTTTGAGGAATTTCTCTTAATCTTTACCTGTTTTTAGTGTTATACTATCACAAATCTTGGTACCAAGGTTCTTTATTATCAAACCCCTAACCATCAGAAAAGCAAGTTATAGACTTATAGAGATGGAATGTGTCTCATTCTCTATATATTCTTAAACGTCTCCTCTCCACTCCACCACACATACACTGATACACACAGACTCAAAACCTTACCCATGAATACAAGAAGTAAAAGAAAACTATCAAGAAATGAAAAAAACAGATCTACACCTAGTTGCATCTTTTCTCATCTAACAATGTGGCGTTGCTCTAAGCTTTCTGTAACGTCCGAGAAGATACGCCGTGTAGTATTCTGACAAAACCCAAGAAACTAAGTTTTCCATCTGAAACCCAAGGAACAAAACCTAGTTTCCATGGCATTTTGAAGAATTTCTCACAAAACGTTTGTAATAAAGTCCTTTATTATGAAAGCCGTAAACATCACAAAATAAAATTATAGAGATATTGAATATAGAGATGTGGAAGTTTTAGAATTGTTTGATAAAGTTATATATATATAGAATATGTCTCATTCTCTACATTCTGTACAAAAGAAGAAGGAAAAAAAAAAACACAAAGTAATAAGTTGAACACGTTGTCTTCTCCTCTCGTAGCCTTCTTCTTCTTTGAGAATTTCTACTGCGTAGTCATCTTCTTTACCCTAAAACAAACCATTTATATAATTTGAAGGTGGTCTCTGGTACTGGGTAACACCAGTCTGTGTATTCCAAAAGTAGAGATCCCCACTGATCGTATCCACAAGACCTATCCACGGCCAGGGGAGATTTGGATCCTCAGGTGCGTAGCGGGCTCTCGAAGCAGGAGCTGGTGTCTCTTCCGCGTACTGGACAAAACCAGTCTCTGTATTCCTCATGCACATTAACGCAGCAGTCCCACTATCCACATAAACATCACTGATGATATATCTCTTCCTCGCATCCTCTGGACCCAAGCTCGCTCCATACTCGGTATTGAAATCACTAGCAACGTAGATCTTCAACAAAGCACTCAGATGCTTCACCACAATCACATCAGAGACACTATCAATAAGACACAAACACTCAAGTCGTGGAGCATCAATCTCAACCTTAAAAGCTGCACCATCTATACTATTCTGGAACCAGAAACCTTTCAGACTCTGAGACCTAACAGTCAGAGACAACTGAAATTCATGCTCATGATCGTAAGTCATTATAAATGTAAGGTCTTCAAGAACTGGACAAGCAGAAATGATCTTCTCCATGATCAAAGAATCATCAGCATCATACCACACGTCTTGAAAATGCATAATCTTCAGACAAGGCAGAGAAACAGCAAAACTCTCGGGAGTATGGCCACGAGTTTCAGCGTCACTAATGTACTGCTCTTGTAAACCTTCTCAGGCAGGACATACATGAAAGCCTCACCACACTTGACAGCTAAATGTTGAACTCCACGATCGACCGCTGTGTTGGTCCATACCTCGTACTGGTCTCCATAGGCATCGCATGCATCATCATACACTATCTCGAGCTTGTGAAGTCGTGATTTTTCATTTACCAGTAGATATTTGTCAACGAAGATGTCGGTGCAAGAAGGACGTTAACTGAAATCTAAGTCAAGTCTAGGAACCATAGACCAGAGATGTTCCCATCTCTTTGATAAAACGCTTGTGCTAACGGATTCTTTGGTCCCAAGGAATGAGAGTATATGAGTTACCAAAGAATCCGGCAGTTCGCTGATTCTATCTCTACCCATCACGAGAAATGAAACCCTAAACCATCAAACCGATTAATTAATATGCGAAACGATTCAGAAATGATCTTAATCTTCTATGTAACAAATTGATTCAAATCATTAGAGATATAATTGTAAGAAACTGAAGAACATACCGTTCAATTTGATTCGCAAGAGGATTTTATCATCGGAGAAATCGCCGCGGAGGAGCAAAGTGATAAAATGGAGAAGAAAAACTGGCCACTTAGTGAAATAAATCTACGCGTTTATATAATCGGAAAAGTTAGATTCTAATTTCATCTTTAGTGATAACAAGCGACACTATAATTGAGGACATACGTAGCCCATCAGACTACCACACACATTTGTTCAAAACGCATGTTAGAAACGCGTTTTGAAGAAAAAATGTGTGTGGTAGTCTAATGCGTGCTACGTATGTGTGTGCAATTATATAAACACGTGTTATCTCTAAAGATGGAATTAGAATCTAACTTTTTCTGATTATATAAACAGTGTTGATTTATTTGACTAAGTAGCCAGTTTTTCTCCTTGATTTTATCCCTCTGCTACTCTTAAGATTGAAGTCGTAACGATTTAAGAGAAAATGATCGAAGTTAATTAAGAGGTTAGTAACTTACCTGGTTTGGTAAGTTCCAAATCTGCTCTTAGTTCGTGTTTGAATCCATGAGATCGAGTCTTTCTTGTTATTCTGCTTCGTTGAGATCATTAATGTCCTCCATGACTGCAAATGTCAAAACAAAAATTCCTCCGGTACATTAATTGTCAAATATGCAAAAACACCAAAGCACTGCGATGCCTAACATTAACTATGGTATCAATGCCAATCATGAACAAGAAACGCAGCTTCTTTACCACAACCCTATCAGACTGATTATAAAAAAATAAAATAAAAACAGCTAATCAAAGTAAGATCATTTCTAGAAGAGGACAACCTGATTTGAGTTTCTCCATAATCAAAGGATCGTTACAATACCAAACGTCTCCAAGATGCAAAATTGTTTTCGAGACACCAGAGTCTTACTCTTGAAAATGTTGTGTGTATGAATTTGGCAAAAAGGTCTGTCGCAATCCATCGCTGAGAAACGAAACCCTAATGTTTCAAAAACAACAACATCAAATCACATACGAAAACTTTCGAAACTGATTCCAGAATCTAAGTCGATATAAAATCACACTCATAAACATGCAGAGAGAGAGAGAGAGAGAGAGAGAGAGAGAGATTAATCAACCTCGAGTCTGAAGAACTCGCCGTCGCCCTAACTTTGCCAACTAAATCCGATCGGATAAGGAATCGACATTGTTTATACCAAACCGAGATTAAACCAAACTATGCGGTTGTTCTCCAAATCGGTTTGGATACGGATTCAGTTCCGGTTATTTGTTAAACGTTAGTCGGACTCTGACCGAAGCTAGTTCGATTCGGCTTGTGCATTGGTTCAGTTTAGCTGTTTAGGCATGTTCGTTTCGTTGTGTAGGTAGATATATACTCCCTCCGTTTTTTTTTTATAAATTTTCTAGAATTTTCACACATATTAAGGAAAAACAGATTTTCAATCATTAGTGTATTGATTTCTGCAATAAAACAACTTTTTATAATTTTCAACCAATAAAAATCTAACAAATACAATCATTGTTTCTTGAAAACTGGAGAAATGTATTAAAAAAATAGAAAATTTATCTTTGTAAAACAATAACTAATGTCTAGAAAATCTATCTTAAAAAAACGGAGGGGATACTTCTTTAAATTACGACAAGAAATAAAACATTTCATATATATTTCTCCAAAAAGTGCCAAGAACAGTGGGCATTACAATAAATAAAATAAAACATAGGTAGAGTAATCATAGATTAATTTAACAAGGACACGATAAATAAAACCAAAAATTTAACAGAAATTAAAAAGGTTTAAAGATGCACATAACTTTGATCATCTAATAATTATTTGGTGTGAGCTTCGTGTGTTTGCGTCTGAGCATAATGTCCCAACTCTTTAGCTTTCTCCGATATCATCATTCTGGCGTAATCCACCTTATCCGCTCCCATCGGATGTTTTCCGGTGACGTACCTATAGATCCACGCTAACGCCGTGGCAGCTGCCACTCCACATCCACCGGAAAACAAGAATCCTGCCGCTAATAGCCCGATCGTTATCACAGCTGGCACCAGCACAGGACTGAACAGAACCATCAGCGGCGTCGCTACGATCAAACCTATCACCGTGCCTGTGAGCGTTAGTCCAGAGAGCACTAACAGTGACAAGCCTATCATCGCCGCCGTTAGGAATCTCACGGTCTGTCGAGTCGATGGTGATGATGCTGACTCGTGGAGGTTTTTCGTCATTGGTTGCTGCTGATTATGATGATGATGATCCGTCATTTTCTTTTTCTTTCTGGAGAATTTTGTGGATGCAACGTGTTGTGTTTGTTTTTTTTTGTTTTTAGTATTCGTGATTTGTGAAGATGAAAACGTAACGAATATAATGGAGAGAAGAAAGACGAACGGTGATGCGATATGTGCGCGTGTGAAGAAGTGGAGAAGAGTGTCACGCGGGCGTGTCAGTTCTGCATGGAGTGACCATGACACGTGTTTACTCGATCGGTTTGAATTATATCTCATTGTCAACGATCTTGAAGCTTATTGGGCTACCATCTAGACCTATGGTCGTTTGCACTTAGATTTTACATGTAGATTACAAACACGTCACACGTTACATGTAGATCATGTGAAACCACTTTCCGGATACAAAAATTTGTCAAATCCATTATTTATTTTCTCCCTTCAGGGCACATATTAAAAAAATTCAAATAAATTTACCTAACTAGTTTTTTTTTTTTTTTTTTTTTTTTTTTTTTTTTTTTGTAAATCAACTATAGTATTTTTTATTGTAAATTTATTTTAATATTCCTATTTTAAACTGTTTTGTGTTATGTATTGGCCTATTGGGTTCATTTAACTAGTGAGTCGAGTTTGTTAATCCTATGGCTTGTTCGACACGAGATCTGTCTAGCGTCACCATTTGTCAGGTCAAAATCGGATCTGCTTCTTCTTCTTCATCGGTCTAGTTTTCAGGGATATTTATGTTTTTCTTCGGTACAGTTTATTTTGTTTGAGCATGTGATTTGTTGTATGTTGTGTTTTAAATTTATTCGATAAAATTATCAGATGACAGAATTAAAAATAAAAAAATAGTTACCTAAAAGGCTAAAACAGTAAAAAGCACTATTGAAGACGAAATTTTTGAACAAAAAAACTCGATTGGCGATATTGACACGTGGTAGCTTCTGAATTCGACCGTTGCTGCTTTGCTGGTAGACGTTTTTCCCCCTTTTTAAAAATCTCGTCTCTCTCTCTCTTCTCCATTGGATCTGTATGCTTTTGTAAAATTGGTCTCTTCTCTCTTCCTCTCTCTTTCTTCCATTTCTCTCATTTTCTCTCTATCTCGTCTCGTCGATCTCTTTCATGGGGATCTCTACGGAGACACAGCAGCAGCACGAGAAGGTAAAAGAAACCGATTCTCTGATTCACAAATTCGAACCTCACTGTTTCCTCTTTCTTATCCCTTAATCGTCTCAATTTAGGGTTTCAAACATTATCCCTCTCTCTCTCGTGTTACTTCCTTAGTTCGTTTGTGTTTCCTTGCGTTTGATTGTGTTTATGGAATGCGATCTGAAGATTATCGATAAGATCGCTCGATTTTCTTTGACCCCGGAAAGAAGAGGACTCGATTTCGTTCTAATTCGATATTTTCTACTTGATTTGAGAAAGATTTCCTGGCAAGATTTTGAAGATTTTTGAGCAATAGATGTTGATTAAGGATGAAATCTTCGTTTCTGGCAAATTAGTCAGTTTTCGATTAACAAAAGAACTGGATTTTGGTAAAATTTGTTCCAATTTCCGAGATGTGATTGAATAGAGATTCGTTTCTTGGGATTAATCATCATTTTGGATTAAGAACTTTTCTAAGAGTAGAACTGATTGTATCTGTGTGATGTTGTATCAGGAGGCTGCACAAAAGAGATGGACTTTAAGCGATTTCGACATTGGAAAGCCTCTTGGTAGAGGGAAATTTGGGCATGTCTATCTAGCGAGAGAGAAACGTGTTAGTATATATATCTTCACAAATTTAGACTTGTTCAGAGAAGTATCTTTTATTAACCAATGTGACATTTTGGAAACAGAGCAATCACATTGTGGCTCTAAAGGTTCTTTTCAAGAGCCAGCTTCAACAATCTCAAGTCGAACACCAGCTTCGAAGGGAAGTCGAAATCCAGTCTCATCTTCGTCATCCAAATATTCTACGCCTCTATGGTTATTTCTATGATCAGGTGTTGTGTTTATGTGTGTGTTTTAAAGAACTTCTTCGCTGACATTCATACAATATTTTGTCTCTGTGAGGATAACACAAGTTTCTTGTATTGTTTCAGAAGAGAGTTTACTTGATTCTTGAGTATGCAGCTAGAGGAGAACTTTACAAAGAGCTTCAGAAATGCAAGTACTTCAGCGAACGCCGTGCAGCAACTGTAAGTTCTCTTGCTTCTGAATCTCTTGAATGTGTTTAGTCTTTGAGCTCATAGCCTTATGTTTAATGTTGCAGTATGTTGCGTCATTGGCTAGAGCTCTCATCTATTGCCATGGAAAGCACGTAATACACAGAGATATTAAGCCAGAGAATCTACTGATTGGTGCTCAGGTAACAAATCTAATCTCCATCATCCGGTATATGGATAAAGTTAGCTTATATGTTTATGTATTCGATCAGGGTGAGCTCAAGATCGCCGACTTTGGATGGTCTGTACACACATTCAACCGCAGAAGGACTATGTGTGGCACTTTGGATTACCTTCCACCTGAGATGGGTAAGTGAAAAAACTATCCACTGTGTCTCTTCTGCAACCAAGTACTTGACGCTTCTCTGCTTTTGGATTTACAGTGGAAAGTGTAGAACACGATGCTGGTGTCGATATCTGGAGTCTTGGAGTTCTTTGTTATGAGTTTCTTTATGGTGTCCCTCCTTTTGAGGCCAGAGAGCATTCAGATACATACAGAAGGTAAACTTTAACATGTTTCATTGAACTTAGGATGGGATTTAGTACAATGTTGAGGTTATTGACATTTTTGTTGTACAGGATTGTGCAAGTTGATCTCAAATTTCCTCCTAAACCCACAGTGTCTTCATCTGCGAAAGACCTGATTAGCCAGGTTTGGCCTCTGCATTCCTTGTTAATCTCTCTTGAGCTATTCTGCAATGAAGAGTGAATTCTAATTTGTCATGCAATATCCGAATCGAAAACAGATGCTTGTTAAGGAGTCTACGCAACGTTTGGCCTTGCACAAACTTCTGGAGCATCCGTGGATTGTACAAAACGCAGATCCTTCTGGTATCTACAGAGGTTGAAGCTTCTTCATGCTTCTATTCAGAGAAGAGAAAACAGCATTCTTGGATGGAATTAAGGGATTTGACCAATTCATATTGTCTCTAGCTGTGTTGCAATTTTTTTGTATCATATTTGTTAACAAAGTTTATAACCAATTAGTAACAAATCTTGCATTCACTTCTTTCCTACAAATTGTTACGACCGGTTTCAGACTAACAACAGGTTTTCGTTCGATGTGTATTATGCAATCAATCAATTTCTTTCAAAAAGGTGAATTGGGTAAGAAATGGACGTTTCTTGTATCTATGAGAAACAGAAGAACAATCTCTAATTAACCTTAATAATGATATCTTGTTGTTCCATTGAGTCGAGTGTGACATTTGTGGTGGTGTAGTCTTAGAAGGCGTATCGGTAAATGGCATCCGCAACACCGTCTTCGTCGTTGCTCACACCGATTACATCAGCCACGGCCTTTGTCTTTTCTGCACCGTTGCTCATAGCAACTCCCCACGACGCCAGTTCAAGCATCTCTATATCATTTTCGCCATCCCCAATCGCCATTACCTGATCCAACATCGGAGATATGCTTCATCAGTTATCTTACTTATGAACATAACAGATCAAGCAGTTCGGTTCGGTTTTGAGTACAGATTCAATTTTCGGTTTGACGCTAGATTTTACCTCATTTGGTGAAACGCCTAAATGGTCGAGTAGCATTTTCACACCCTTCCCTTTGGAGGTTCTTGGTGGGACGATCTCTAGCATATCTGATTGAGCTTGAACGACATCAGCACGGTCTCCTGTAGCTTCTGACCAGTACGGACGGATAACAGATGAGACCCCCTTGGTCGTGTCCATGAATATCATTTTCTGAGGATACACAAGAGAACCAAACATTAGTACTTAGGATTATACAGATGTAAGAATGCAAAATCTAGGTTATGAATCCGGGATTTACCTGAATGTCAGCTTCAGATATAAGTTGATCAACCGATGATATGATTTCGGCCTGTTAACACAAAAACCATGTAAGAGATTGTGCATGAAGCTGATAAAAACCATAGCTAGAAGGGGCAGAGAGCGTAACGATTTTCATTAAACCTACCTTTGGCTCCTTGTAAATTGTGTGAAGAGATTCAACACGAGGGTGGTCAAATAATGTCAAGCAGCGATCCTGGCTGAATGCAATCAGAGGAATTCCATGCTCCAAAGAATAAAGACATGTCTGCATAATACAAAATCAACATTTTAGCTCTCGGTTATTCCCTCACAACGCACACAGATAGTTGAAGACTGTGATGCAAGGGGACTTGGCTCCAGAATTCTAATGCATGTTGTGAATAAACCCGGATGTGTGAGAAATTATGTTTGTGCTGGTGGCATTAGTCTAAAAGGATTACCTCTCGGCAGACATCTCGGTCTAAGTTTCCTCTATACACTTCTTTTCCTTGTCTACCATAGACAAGTAAGCCCTGTAATCAAACAGAAAGTTACTGAGATACATTATGATACTGAGAGTAGACATATACATTGAGATAGGTGTATCTCATCTCACTGGTTAAGGAAAATAGGAAGACCTGAACGAATACGCCTGGAGAGGACTCTGAAACAATGCCATAGGGTCCAGCTAGATCAGCCATTTTCAAGATTCTAATCGCACCTGGACGGGACTGTGATATATAGAAGTTAGCAATAGCCATCTCCAATACATTCTAAAGAAGAAGAAGTAACAGAAAAGACGGCATGACATAGTTAGATGGATACTGTTCTGTTCTCTTCTCACCTTCCCAGTAGCTATCACGACTTTAAGTCCCCTCAGCGTAGCTTCTTTTAAAGCTTTCGCATTAGCTTCCGAGACCAGACTTTTACTGTTAAGCAGTGTGCCTAGCGTTCGGCATTAAAGTCATATTAGAAAGAGAAGAAAACCGAAAGCAACAAGTACAGATTGTTTAAACAGGTACCTTACCATCCATATCACAGAATATGTAGGAGAACTTTGGTCTGTAGAATCTTAGGCCATCTCCTTTCTTCCTGTCTTTTAACAGTAGTCTTAGCAAGAACAAGCAAACAGCATATTTATAGTAACCCCCATGAAGAGAAGGAACTGTAAATGATAGTTACAATTGCTAACATGTAAATAGAGGAAATTTACCATCTGGTATCTCCGGCTGAGGTTTAGCTATTGTTTCAATGTCATGCGCACTTTGAATAAGCCCTTTCCCTTTCCACCCAAGGCTCTTTAGCAACAACTCCTCTTCCTCCTCCATTTCTTTCTCAGCTTCATCGCTGATCTCATGATCAAATCCCAGTAGGTGTAACAGCCCATGAATCTTTGGAAAAGAAAAAGAACATTATAGTATCATTAATACAAGGCTGAAACGAAAATCATATGAAACCATTGCCCTTCTTATATCAAATAAAGATTATTGAAACACAGTACTCACTTCTTCCATTGTTTAATGGAGTCACAAAGATCAAGAACTATACTTCAAGCAAAAGAAAACTAAAGCTAACCAAACAAACTCTTATTAGTTTCAATTTACACAACCCACCTAAAAGGATCCACATTTTCCTTCTATGTTCATCAGTAAGTAGACATCTAATTAACGTACCACAAGAATGCGTATCTCATCAAGAAGAGTGTGACCCCTCTCTGCAGCCTGCCTCGCAGCTGTCTCAACAGATATGACAATATCTCCCATCATAAGCTACAAAGAACAATGCACCTTTACGAGTTTAGCCATTTGAAACCATACAATTTAAACCCCAAACGAATCAAAAATGACAACTCTTACTACTGGAAGCTTCAATTCAGGAACATGCTGTGACATGGAAAGCACATCTGTAGCATGATCTTCGCCTCTCCACTCTTTGTTGAGTTTACATATAAACTCATCATTGCATAGCATCACCGATAACTCGACCGTTTCATACCCACCAACATCTTCTATATCAGTTTCTCTTGTTTTACACTTTGAATCTTTCAATCCATCCAATGCCAGCTTCATCGCCATAGGTACATTGAGACGAAGCATTTCCGCAATATTCTACAAAATCAAACGAAAACGAAAAGAGTAAACTTCATAATTTGATCCAAAACAACACAAACTAGAATAGCTAATTGAACCAATAAGAGCTTATGATTCCTCCATGGTAAGTCTTAAGCTGAATCCAAATTCGATTATCAAAAGAAGAAGAAAAACCTGAATCTCAAGATCATCAGGAAGCTGCTCCTCGATACAGATACTGACGCTAAGCTCCAATTCCTGTTTCTTCTTCGGCATTCTCTTCCTCATCTTACGATATTCTCTCCTCTCCGCAAACACACGACCCGCCGGCTTCGGAAGCTTCCACTCTCCACCTACTCCGGTGCTTCGCAGTGCGTGGAATCCCCGGCAAAACATCGAAGAAACATTGAGACGATTCGTTGTGGTCACAAGAGCAGTTCTCGGAGAAGTCCGTAAGAAATGAGGCTGGAGGAGACGGGCATGGTGGAAGAGAGCGGCGCGTGGCATTTCACGCGCTTCTGCTGAGCAGCAGAGACGGTTGTGGCGGAGGATTGAGCAGAGACGAGAGAGCATGAAGGCTCGAGAGATGCGTGAGGCGAGGGAAGAAGGGAGGCGTCTCTGCTCTGGCTTAGGTGTGGAGTGGAGATTACAAATCAAATCGAACCGATAATTATTCGAAATACAACCGAATCGAGTTTATATCATGAACCAAACCGTAATAAATAGTTTTGTACCGAACAAACCAAATCTAATGTATTCTCCACGCAGTGCGATTGTCTTCCATGGGCCTGGCCCACAAATTTGGAGATCAGCTTTGTCCAAATTCATTTGAAATGGGCCTTGTGAGCCGAGCAAAGTGCTTTGGCCCTCTCCTCAATTCCCGCTCAAGCTTCATCGAGCTTATGCGTTTGTGTAGCGGTCAGGTCAGACACAGTCTCAACTTTCTTACTGTGCTGGATCATCTACCGGGTCATTGTCAGACTTTACCATCTTTTGGTCAATAATATTACCAACTTACTGGGAGTCGAACCCGGGTCTATTGCTTCAAAGGTATTTCTAACAGTTGGATTACATATAGGACAAAACTTTAGAATGACATTTTTTGTGAAACGGAAGAAGTAATAAATATGGAGCATCGACCCTTGGGTCTATTGGTTCAAAGGCATTCCCAACCCTTGGATTACACATATGCGACAAAACTTTGGAATGACAATTTTTGTGAAACGGAGGAAATAATAAATATGGAACATTGTTGATAAACGTGACAAGCTTCCCGACAAAGTTTTAAAATAACACTTTTTGTGAAACGGAAGAAGTAATAAATATGAAGGATGATGAACTTGACAAGCTTTCTTTGACATGCGTACGTTACATTGTATTTTTCTTTTATATTTCTAGTTTGAAGTTTGAACATTAAAAATTATATAGATAATAATACAATTCACAATTATATTTTTTTGAGGTCATGCTATTTCTCGTTTTATAAGAGACTTATTTTATCAAATATAAAAAAAACTTTGAAAAATCTATTTCTAAGACATGAATTAGTTGTTTTTCAAGTTTGATATTTGAAATTTTTGATATCATTATTGATTTAAATAGGTAACTCATTAAAAGTCTATGTAATAACTAAGAACCTTTAATAATTTTAGTAGTATTAAGCAAGTAATTTTTTTTGGATTTTTAACTTAAACTTTAAACATCATTTCACATCCTGTAAAATCCAAAATCAAAATTTAAATTATTTTTTAATGAAAAGTCACAAGGAATATTTCGGAAAATTACAAATCAACGTGTAGTACATGAAATGTTTTGTTTTAAAAAAAGGACTTTTGATTATTTATTGATATTTTTTTTTCACCTAATATATATCTTCACGAATTTCACGTCTCTCCTTCTCCCTCGTGTCCTCTTTGCTTTCTCCATCTCTCCCTCCTTTGAACCAGTCAAATCGATTTATAACCTCCTCGTCCAATCCTTCTTTGACTTCTCTTTGAAACTTGTAGTCGCTTTCCCTTTTATCCATCGATTTAGGGTTTTCGATTTCGTTTCCGAGCTTTCCTCGCCTTTTCTCACCTTTTCCCTTCTGCAATATGACTCTATTTCCTAATAGATTACGGAATTATCATGATCCGAGTGTTTGATCAGATCTCCAATCGCGTTAAACAGATACAATAATCTTGGGAGGGAGATATATATATAGTTTTTTTTTTTGCTGTTGTGCTTGGATCGTTTAGGGCTTTCTGGTCTTATACTATGGTTGCTACTCAACGATCGGACGATGAAGCTGCCACTAAGAGCTATGGGATCACGAAGCCTCTCTCTGTTGCTGGTCCTTCGAAGGCTGATCTTAAGCGTAATTTAGAGCTGGAAAAGGTAATTTTTCTGTTCTGTTTTTCCGATGGAAATTTGCTTCGCCGAGCAACGTTTTTGCTGATTTTTTTTTTGTTTTTTTTTCGTCTCATCTGAAGTTTCTGGTTGATGAGGGGCTCTATGAGAGCGAGGATGAAACTATGCGGAGAGAGGAAGTTCTGGGACGCATTGATCAGGTGAATAAGCGTGTTTGGCTGGTTTTTCAATTGGCTTAAGTTTCCTTATACTAGCATTGTTTTTGCATATTTGTTTATGTTTGTGAAATCCGAGCTCAATTGTTTAGTTCTTCTGTTTTAAGCTCTGAACGTCTTCATCTTCTTTGTATAGATTGTAAAACACTGGGTGAAACAGTTAACTCGTCAGAGGGGATATACAGATCAGATGGTGGAGGATGCAAACGCTGTCATATTCACTTTTGGATCTTATCGCCTTGGAGTAAGTGCTTTAAGTTTAAAAGTTTAAGTTCAGCTCATTTTAATCTGTTTGGCTAAAGGTTGAGGTTTACTTGGATTATACAATCTCTGTTGAGCCTTGTGAATAACTCTACTTGACTCTAGATAAATAGCACTGTATTTGAGGTGTGAAAATGCTTGATTTTTGTTGACTTTGCAGGTACACGGGCCTGGGGCTGATATAGATACTTTGTGTGTTGGTCCATCCTATGTTAACCGAGAGGTAACTCTTGAATCACGTCTTGCTGATATAAAAGTCTGGTGTGCTGTTCAGTTGCTAACGGGGTATTTTTTACAGGAGGATTTCTTCACCATCTTGCGTGATATATTGGCTGAGATGGAAGAAGTGACAGAGATTCAACCTGTTACTGATGCCCATGTGCCAGTCATGAAGTTTAAGTTCCAAGGAATATCGATTGATCTTCTGTATGCTAGCATATCACTTCTAGTTGTGCCACAGGTAGTATCACTATAGCTATCTTCGATTTCTGTTGAAACTTAGGGGTAGTTATCTTCGATTTAGTTTGGTGGTTCTGGTGCTTGTATTGCATGTTGGTGGTCACGTATAGTGTCCTATCATTCCTCCTAGGGCTGAGATATCAGAGAGACTTATTTTTAGAAATTGTTGGTCTTAGTGAACTCGGAGATGTGTGATTATTGTTTTTAGCACCCTCAGGCTTCGTTTATATGTGTACTAAGTTGAATTGTCGCCAAAGTTCACATTCTCTTGCTGAGTCAGATCCCTTGTTTTTCTGAATTGAAAATTTAACAGGATCTGGATATCTCCAACACTTCTGTGCTGTGTGATGTGGATGAACAAACTGTCCGCAGTCTTAATGGCTGTAGGGTTGCTGATCAAATTCTTAAACTCGTTCCCAATTCCGAGGTAAAATTTTGTTGTTGTTAATAAACCAATGAATCCTGTTAAGCCATATCTGACGTTACGTGCAAATGTAGCACTTCCGGACAACTTTAAGATGCCTGAAGTACTGGGCTAAGAAGCGTGGTGTCTATTCAAATGTAAGTTGGTGTCTTTCTGAATATTACACATTTTGACATTACATTTACATTAAAGCTCTTGTCATCTCTATTATTTTGAGCAGGTTACTGGATTTCTTGGTGGTGTAAATTGGGCACTTCTGGTTGCACGCCTGTGCCAGCTTTATCCGAATGCTATTCCTAGTATGTTGGTCTCTCGATTTTTTAGAGTATATACACAATGGCGCTGGCCGAATCCAGTCATGCTTTGTGCTATAGAAGAGGATGAGCTTGGAATTCCCGTCTGGGATCCACGAAAAAATCCCCGTGACCGCTTTCATCTTATGCCAATAATAACTCCTGCATACCCGTGCATGAATTCTAGTTACAATGTCTCTCAAAGCACACTCCGTGTTATGACAGAGCAATTCCAGTTCGGTAACAAAATCTGTCAGGTTAGGGAGCTAAACACCCGATTTTGTTTGTGAACAGTTTACCCAGGATTCTGTTGCTGAGTATCATTTGGTATGCAGGAGATTGAGTTAAACAAACAACACTGGAGATCCTTATTTGAGCAATATATGTTCTTCGAGGCGTATAAAAACTACCTTCAGGTTGATGTACTAGCCGTAGATGCAGAAGATTTACTGGCTTGGAAGGGTTGGGTGGAGTCACGGTTCAGGCAGCTTACCTTGAAGGTATATAGCATTATTTCATTTGATGTTCTCCAATTTGTTAGTGGTAGGCAAACTGTTACTGAAGGGCACGTGTTCTCCTCTTTTTTATCCAACAATGCAGATAGAACGAGACACAAATGGGATGTTAATGTGCCATCCGCAACCAAATGAGTATGTGGACACTTCCAAGCAGTTTCTGCATTGTGCCTTTTTCATGGGCTTGCAGAGGGCAGAAGGAGTTGGTGGCCAAGAATGTCAACAGTTTGATATACGTGGAACAGTGGATGAGTTCAGGCACGAGGTAAACATGTATATGTTTTGGAGGCCTGGGATGGATGTGTTTGTTTCTCATGTTCGTAGACGGCAGCTTCCACTGTTTGTTTTCCCAAATGGATACAAAAGGCCTCGGCCATCCAGGAACCAGAATCAACAATGCGGAGAACCTGGTGAGCCTGTTGGTTCTTTGTCCGCCAATGGTGAGAGACATGCAAAGAGAAAGAACGACAATGAAATGATGGATACCAGGCCAGAGAAACCTGAGAAGCGTGCATCTCTTAGTCCACATATTCTAGCTGGAGTTTCTCCTGACAGTAGTGCTATAACTTGTGGTGGGACTCCTCCGATTGGCATTGTGTCAGGTCCTAGAGCCGAATGCTTAGTAGATGGTCATCTTGTTTACAATGACAAAACTCTTCCAAATGCAGAAGTCGAGGCGGAAAAAAATTTCAGGAAAATCTCAGAACCCAGGAAATTTTCTCAGTATGAGCATATCTCTGGTAACGAGCAAATCCTGGAAGTAGACAGTAGGGCTCTGGTTCAAGGTTGTCATGGACTAGCTGAGTCTGTAGGAAAGGATGTGAGACCTGATCCTAGTGTTGTGGTAGCATGTGAAGGTGGGCAGAATGAAGATATAGGTCGTGATATGGGCTCTGAATCCATCAATGACGCTGACACGCAACATCTTCCAAGCCAACTAAATCTGAAAGAGGATGTTTATGAAGTTGAGAGGGAATCCAGGTCGGGAGAAATCACTGATGACGTTTTGCGGGATGGATACTGTGGGCGGAATCTTGATCATGAGGTGAGTTTTTCTTATTCGATGATTATGGTATATGAAAAGTAACAAATTGGCAAAAAAAATATGTCTTGAACTTACTGGGCATAGTGATCATGGCTTGTTACAGGGTTTTTTGACTGCTGCAAATGTGGATTCAGCTGTGGAACCTAAAAACATGCATTCAGATGTATTGTTCAAAAGTGGTTTGTCAGAAGAACTTCAGGTTTTTTATTCTAATTCATGTCCTTTTGCTTACTGTTTATTCGTCAGTTGGATTTTAGTTTCCGTGATGCCCAATGATTATATTTATAGTTGAAGGGTGATCTTATGAGCACAACCTAGCCTACCTTTTGCTGCGTAAGCGAACAGTTTATGAGCTTAAGCTAGAATGTTGTGCTAGTATATACCTATAGAATAGCTACTTTTTGCTATTAAAGTTATTGATTCATGCTCTTTTTATTTTTCTGAGAACGGCTCTGTGTGAAGCAATAATATGTTATGTCTTGTTTCTGCATACATCCTAACTTAGTGCATATATATCATTGCCAGGTGCGGCACTGCCATGTTTGATTGTATAGATCCGCTTGAAAACTGTTGCCTGTTTGTTGTTTCTTATGAGACTACACAGTTTTTTGCTTCCTTTAGATCACTTGTGACTTGTCTCTTTGTTTGTGACTTTTTGTGTGTCTTAGTCAAATCATTTGCTCAGCGGTATGGGGAGGCCAGAAGAGGGAGCTAGGTCAGAATCTATGCAGAATACACTGATGAGTATGTGTTTTTGCGACCCATTACTAATTTATACTAATCATAATCTCTTTATGCTTTTTTTTTGGTGTTTTCTTGGTACTTTTTGTAGCAGCAGCAGGTTGAGCTTGAAGTCGATAGTGTGAGAAAGGTCTCAGCAATTGCAACGAGAACCTAGAGAAAGGAAAAAAAGATGAAAAACACAAAAATAAATAAGAAGAATCAGAGCAACTCAGTGTTCGCTTTGGATGACAGCTTCCAGAACTCGACTCTTTAGGTAAGTAAACCTAAATATGAAAACGAAAAGGTATGAAAAAAGAAAAAAAAAAAAAAAAATAAAAAAAAAAAAAAAAGATAAAAGAAAAAAACATAACTTTCAAATGATTTTGTTTGTTGGAAACATCTTGGTGGGATTGTGACTATCCAACCTCTGGGAAGAGATGCAAAAGCCGAGCATTGTTCGAGACTGCTCCAGGAAGTTAAAATGAGGCAGAGAGTTTGTGCTGGTTCAACGATTTTGCCTGAGAGTTGCTAATTTCAGTGAAGAGAGAATCAGTAAAGTCACCATTTGAAGAAGGCAAGTGAAGTATATATATGTCTGCCTTTCTCCGAGTATTTCAGACTTTTGTTTTTGTATTTTATATGCTTTAAGATTTGGGATCTTTCAACTTTAATATTGTTCTGTGTATAAAAATATCTCCTGCTTTCTTTTTACTGCTTGCGTCTTTCATAAAGAGCCATTCCTAGTCACCAAATGTCCTTTCTCTGGTTTTTCGACTATGAATGACTTTGTGTGCACCAGTCAGTTTGTCCCTTTGCCACTGTTACTATAAAGAGATTAGAGTGTTCAAAGCAAGCCTACACTTTAAATACATTAGCATCAGTGATAGTGATAGTCTATTGTACACCAATTGGAACCAAAATTGAATTGTTCTCGCAAGTGACTAACGAGATCTTACTTTTATGAAGATTCTGAAACAAATCGCAGTTGTATTTGTTATTTCCTTTTCAAAAGTGGTGAACTTGAGACATGGCAGTTATTGCAAAAAAGATTGTACAATATCCGACTCTGCTAGTGAAATAACTCAAGAATCAAGAATGATTTGGCAAATGTAAAACTCTTCTACTCATTTCTTTTAGCTGGCACTATTCCTCGGATAGAATCCCATAGCTTGTTTCAAATTATGAACTGTGGCATCAGCTATCTCCGTGGCTCTGTCTGCACCTTCTGATAGTACTTTGTCCAAGTACCCTGTTTCCGCTGTTATCTCCTGGTAACGGACCTGCACAACAAAACAAATAACTTATCATACACCTCACACAAATGATATGATATGAAAGGTATTGGATTGGTTAAAAAGTTTTTGACTTCACAGACCTGGATTGGACTTAGATGCTCGATCAGAGCATCTGCGAGGAGAGGTTTAAATGTACCCCAGCTCATATCTTTGCATTCCTCCGACACTTCCTGAAAACCGATTCAAAATTATGTTCACCGGATTATAGACTGTATCTTAAGTGGTTGTTATGGCCAAGGGTGTCAAAGACGTTTGAAAGCATCATACCTCTTTAGTCTTTCCTGAAACAATCTGATATACGGAGAGGAGATTGTTGCATTCGGGTCTCTCAGCATTGTCGAATTCAAGGCTGTTGCAATAGCAAGAAGCAGAAACTTTCAAATGTAAATATCTCAGTTTTTAAAGCCAAAACAGTAACAAGAAAAAAGAAAAACATGTGCACTGCATGGAGCTCTCACCCTGCAAATGAGTCTGTCTTGCACCGTTTTATCTTGTCCGCAATCAGCTAAACAAATTTTCGAAAAGGATTTAGTTTAAGTAGCAGTAGAGCTTATATTGGATGAAACTGGATGTCACAGCTTTCATAGAAATGGTGACAGGAGTATCATATTTGTGCTCAAATGAGAAAAAAAAAATGCTATTTCAAAAGCCTTACAAGCAACGGTGAGTTGATTTTACTTACATCTTTTGAGTCGAGGAGATTGATCCGAGACTGATCAGATGGTGCAGACTTGGACATCTACAAGATTACATGACCGTAAGATC